CTCAGATATTAATCATATAAGATGATAAATAGCTTGGCATCAGGGTGAAATACAAGAAAACCCAGCCAGCTGATAGGGTAGCACACGGCCTGGAAAAGCCAACCAGAGAAGTAGCATCTGAGGCTTAAAGGAACATCAAGGAGGATGCCCCAAGGGTGATGGTGTGCCAAGCAGTAGAACCAGCATGACTCAGATTTTGAATGGTTAGCTGGGTGATTGAATGAGACAGCATATTTGCTGGCAGGGAACAATTCCCCACTATATAGTAAACTGCTACAAAGAGAGGGAAAGCAGTTGACCTTCCATATCCTGGGGTTCTGCATCCATGGATTCAGCCGACCGCAGATTGAACATATTGAGAAATAAAATTAAAAATAATTCAAAGTAAGTATTTATTTAGCATTTATATTGTATTAGGTATTGTAAGTAATCTAGAGATGATTTAAAGTGCACGGGAGGATGTGCTTAGGTTATATGAAAATACTATGTCAGGCAGGGCACCGTGGCTCATGCCTGTAATCTCAGTACTCTGGGAGGCAGAGGCAAGAGGACTGCCTGAGCCCAGGGGTTCGAGACCAGCCTGGGCAACTTGGCAAGGCCTCATCTCTACAATAAATCAAAAAATTAGCTGGGTGCAGTGACATGTGCTTGTGGTTCAAGCTAATGGGAAAGCTAAGGCAGAAGGATCACCTGAGCCCAGCAGGTCGAGGCTGTGGTGGCTGTGAGTGTGCCACTGCCCTCCACCCTGGGCAGCAGAAGGAGACTCTGACTCAAAAAAAAAAACAAAAACCAACTCGTTTTATATCAGGACTTGGGCAGCCATGGGGCAGGGTTTGTCCTGGAATCAATCCCAAGGAATGGCAGTACCTGTTTTCTGACTTCCCCAGAGCCCAGCACTGAGTTGGGACCCTGGGAAGGTGGCAGTGGTGAAAGCGTCCCAGACACAGAAAGAGGGTTGTGTGGTCCAGGCTTGGGAGTGATTTCCAGGAAATGGGTCTCTGATTCTCTGTTCTCCGAGAACAGCCTCCAAAAACACAGTTGCTCTACTGCTTAAATGTTAGAAAAATCAGGGCAGAGGTGGCCTCTTAGTTCACATCTGCCCTTCATGCATGGTCCTGGTGGCAGGGAATCTTTTTGACAAATGGTCACTGCTGAGGTCTGTCCCAAGGTTAAAACTCTCAGAGTGCACAGTGGGAAAGGCCACAGGCAGAGGAGTCTGTCCCCCAGGTGCTCTGAAGGAGATCAGAGAGAGACTCCCTCTCACCTAGGAAGCTCCTGTCCTCTTGGGATGGTCATTTCTGTCCAAAGGCCAGGCTTGGGCAAGGGTCTGGAACTCACTGCTCCAGGAGCCAGGCAGACAATGTGAATCAGCAAAGGGTTGAGGAGGCACCTTGGGGGACAGGGAGGTTCGTGCTGCCCACCCGAGAGGCAGACTGTGGCACACCGGCCAGGGGCTGTCACACATAATTTCTGCTCTTTCCTCGCCAAAGATTTTGATTTTTTTTGATACAGGTTAGAAATGAAGAATGTTATCATTCCAGAGTTTTAAATCTTGGCACCAGTTCAAAGTTTAAAAAACAGAACAAGACCATGAGAGGCAACAGAACACATGTGGGACCTCTGGTCCTTGTTTCTGTCCCAGGGAGGTGATGTGCTCAGGATACCAGTGCGTTGCTTTACGAAGAAAAAAAGTGGGAGCCTGGCCAGACGCATCACTTCTGCAGTATTATGAGTTAGCCTCGATGCCAGGGTTTATAGAGGCTGCACAGCAAACGAGAAGGCCCTGTTCTGCCCTCCTGGAGCCCCAATCACACAGGGTAGACAAAGAGGTAACTCCAGGAGTGGTGGATAATCAGTAGGAGGAAGGACATGGAGCAGAGGCTGGGGGAGTCAAACCATGGCAGGCTTCCTGCAAGAAGGGGCCTCTGACCTGAGGCTTGAAAATTATGAGGAGTTAGCCAGCCAAGGAGTGGGGGTTGGAAGGGTGTTCCAGATCGAGGGAATAACACATGCAAAAGAGACAAGAGAGAATTCAGTTCATTCAGGGATCTGAAAGCAGCTTGTTGCGGCTGGAGCTGAAAGTGGCCACTGGAAGAAGGACAGAAGGCGAGGAAAGAACTGGAGAGATCGGTGGGGATTGCAAACAAATGTCTGCTGGGACTTGGCACCAGAGAGCACAGAAGTCTAGGCATGAGACAAGAGAGAGTGGTGGGGGCTGGAGTGTCCTGAAGACAGCTGCCACTCAACTATTACTACTCTGCTGCAGTCCAGGACTGCCAGAGCTTCCTATTTTTCAGGATCAGCGGGAAATTATTGGGTCGATGCATACATTCGTAGTGTTTCTCACTTGCCCTTGGAATGCAAATGTCGCGCCGTAGTTGACTGGTCACAGCTTATCCCATTTGCCAATTCTTGGGTCGACTGATGTGGATCATTGTGGATTAAAGCGTTTCAGTGGTCTCATCAAAGCCAGATGGTCTTCCTGAACATGGGAATCACTCAGGTCAAAGCAGCCCTCTCTGAAATGGGAAAACCATTTTTCTTGCTTTGCTTTCCCTGATGGTATTTTCTCTGGTGGCATTCTCCAGCTGCCTTCGCTTCCTTTATTCCTCTGTTAAACTCAAACAGAAGAATATGCCGGGAGTGCTCAATTTTTTCCACTTGACACTCCATCTTCTTTAGCCCACAAATAGCACTAACTTTCCTCAAATCTCCAAAATGCAAGGCGTATTCACAAGCACAACCCTGTCACTCCAAGTGGCTGACAAATGATAAACTACCAACACCATAGTGTTGCCATGCCGAAAACAAATACTACAAACTTATGCATCAACCTAATAGATTTTTAAATGCAGTACTTTGAGTTCTGCATTTAGACCTCTTATCTGACTTCAACAGCACTCGGCAAGGTCAAATCAAATCTGTTACATCTGGCCCAGGGCCACCAGTTCCAATCTCCGGAGGAATCTTGAAGCCCTTTGAGCCACTTTAGGGAATGTAGATTCTGAGGGCTGGGACGTGACATTCCAGCATCTGCATGGGGCCTGGTGGCTGCTGTCTGGAGAGTAGCAGGAGAGGAGGCAGCCGCCTGTGTGGAAATGTTGTGGCATCTGGGGAGAGGCAGGGAGATGATGGAGGTCTGAGCAGCACGCGATGTGGGAGAGGCGGGACTTGATGACAGATTAGAAGGGTGGGCTGAGGGCCAAGAATGACACAAGGTCAAGGCAGCTGGTGCAGAGTGAGGAGGAGCTGGGTCACTCAGAGAGGTGCCCTCAGATCTGGTCCTGAGGGGGCTGGAGTCACACCACCCCTGGCACGGCCCCCTCCGTTTCCTGTGCCACCACTGGACATTTCTTTAATGTGTGCACCTGCCACATGTGGGCTCAGTGGGGTGGATGGGACAGACCTGGACATCGAGGAACTACAGTCTGGCTGGGAAGATAGGACAACTGACGAGTCCAGGCAGGAGGCTGGCCTGGTGCTGCCTGAGAGGACGGGGCTCCGGATGGGAATGACCTCATTGTCTGGGAACCCTGGAGGCCTGTCCTGCAGTAAATGAGTGTGACAGGGAAGTGAGGCAGGGGCACCCAGCTGGCATGGGTTGCCCCCGTGAAGGCCTGGTGCTGTGACAAGCCAGTAGACAGTGGATAAGGGGAAAGGAACCTAGAAGGACAAACGACCCTTCCCCACATGACATCTGGGGGGTGGGGGAGGAACACTGCATTTCTCAGGAGGTAATAATTCCTTTGAATTTCTCTGGGCACCTGGCTAGGAGGCCTTGCTGATCTCCCTGGGACAATTAGAAGTCACTTAGTAAATACACGTTTGAGGTGCCCCTCCTCTTCCCATTCCCTCCTCTCTTTGGAGCAATGCTTGGTGGAGTGTTTATTTATTTATTTAGTATTGTATTTATTTTAAAAGATAGAGATGAGTGGCTGGGCTCTATGGCTCAGCCTGTAATCCCAGCACTTTGGGAGGCTGAGGAGAGTGGATGGCCTGAGCCTGTGGGTTCGAGACCAACCCAGGCAATTTGGCGAGACCTCACCTCTACAATAAAATAAAAAATTAACTGGGAGTGGTAGCAGGTGCCTGTAGTTCTGGCTACTTGGAAGGCTGAGGCGGAAGGATCGCTGGAGCCCAGCAGGTCGATGCTGGAGTGGTCGTGAGTGTACCACAGCACTCTAGACTGGGTGACGGAGTGAGACTCTAACTAAAAAAAAAAAGACAAAAAAAAAAAAAGATAGACACAAGGTCTCACTATATTGCCCAGGGTGGTCTTGAACTCCTGGGATCAAGCAATCCTCTTGCCTCAGCCTCCCAAAGTGTTGGGATTATAGACGTGAACGACCACACCCAGTCTGTTTAAATCTGCTGCAATTTGTGTGCATGTTTTAGTGACTTTCTACTCTTCTTACTTTACTGTGGCCAAAATCAAGAGTTGACAGTGAGGCCAGAAATGGGTAGCATGAAGCAGAGCTCAAAAATACACAGGGACAAGGGTAGAGGCAGAAGGAGGAGTTCTAAGCCTGCCGCCTTTCCGGCTTAATATTAAGCCCCAACCTGCTTGTTGTTGTGAGACAGTGCCAGCCAAACTTCAAGCATAAACCTGGTATGCAGCAGGGACTCAGTACAAGCCTGCTGGATTGAGTTTAGATCTTATGGGACCAGACCTCGATAGCCGCTGGACCTTTGAAACGGGGCAGGAAAGAAAGAATGTGGCCTGTAATCCTGCCTTCCTTGCCCGTACGCCCTGGGCTTGGGTTCTAAAGTCCAAAGTGAGTCGAACGTGGCAGGATGGAATTTTGCACATGGAGACCATGGGCTTGGGAACCAGACAGTGTGGTTCAAATTCCACCTCCCCTACCTCTAAGATGGGGATGACAATACCTCCCAAAATCTCTCCCAGGTGAGCGTGCTGCGTGGCACACACGAGCAGGAGGCAGGTGCTAGTGCCACCCCGCTGGAGGCGCAAGCTGCGTCCTCATCCTCCTCACCCTCAGCATTCTACGGATTGTTCTGAGGAGCAGCCATGTCTGCCCTGTACCCGTCTCTGGAGGACCTGAAGGTGGACCAAGCCATCCAGGTAAGCCATTAGCCTGGGCTCCCTGTCGGGGCCTTGGGTTACCTCCGGCAACTGAGGGAGGCCTGCCCTGGAGGGTGCTGGGTGTCGGCAGCCCTTGGGCGTTCCCATACGTTCCGGGGCATGCAGGTCCCCATTGCAGAGCCTGCTGGCAGAGAAGGTGTCCAGAGGCCAAGGCCAGTGGCGCTACAGAAGGAATGGAAATGATCAAGAGACTGCAGACATCTCTCATCCTCTCTGTTCTGCCTTGCCCTCCCTCCAGGCAGACCCCATCCTCTGGGCAGGATTTCAGAGGAAGCCCAGTGGGCATGGGTTCTGACCTTCTCATACCCCAGACGCCCCTTCCGCCCTCCATCCCTCCACCCTGTGCCCCTAGTGGGTTTTGAGAATTTGGAACTTCTCAACTGAAGACTTTGTTGGGAGGTGGGTCTTAATGTTCTACCTGCCACATGGCATCTGGTGGATTATGGGCCCCTGGAGAACCTCCTTCCAGAAAGAGGCACACCTGCTGAGGCCACTTTTACATTATGACCTTGAACCTTGCGGGTTCACAGACACTTTCTCCCAGGTCCACCCACACACCTAATGCCCACACCCTGACCTCAGGCACCTCCAGGCTTGGGGGTTCTTAGGGTCCCTGCCACAGCTGACCAGCACTCCCTTCTTCTCCTCAGACCCAGGCCAGAGCCTCACCTAGGATGCCTGCTTTGCCCATCCAGGCCGCAGCTGTCTCCTTGCCACCAGGTGAGTGAGCCAGGGTGGGGTGCTTCTGGTTGAACATGGAGGAGGTCATCAGGGCAGCATGGTGGCACCAATGCTAGGGGGGGAGTACTGGACCTGGGCTCACATGGTGGGAGCAGATGACCCAGGCTCCCATGTCCAGCCACCTCTCACTGCCGGGTGACCTGGGCTAAGGCACTGCGCCTGCCAGAGACTTTGCTCTCCCTCTTCCACTGCCTGGTGAACTCCTATCTATCCTCCCAAGCCCAGTGCAGAGAGTTAAGGAAGCCATGGCTTCTTTGATGCCCCTAGCAAGCCTGACTTGAGAGTATCATATTATTTGTGAAGTCTCTGTCTATATAAATGATTTTATAACCCCAAATCAGCATGTCAGCACCATTCTGGTGACCCAGTCTCAGGTGATTCCAGGAATGAAATACCATGATAGTCAGAGGGAGAGAGTCATTTGCCAGGCCTCGGCTGAGGGTGAATGGGGGGAAGGGGGTCAGCAGAGAGAGAAGGGGCCAGAACCCCACTTAGTGCAGGCATCATAACAAAATGCCACAGACTGGATGCTTTCTATGGCAATTTCTATTCTCAGAGTTCTGGAGGCTGGAAGTCCAAGGTCAAGGTTCTGGCCACTTGGATTTCTGGTGAGGGCTCTCTGCTTGGCTTGCAGAAGGCTGCATCTTCTGACTGAGTCCTCACATGGCTTTTGCTCAGTGCATTTGCTTGACAGAGAGAGAGAAGGAGAGCACGCATGCACAAACTCTCTGGTGTTCCTTGTTATAGGGATACTCATCTCATGGAATTAGGACCCCACACTTATGACCTCATGTATCCTTGGTTATTTTCTAAGAGGCCCTATCTCTAAATATAACCACACCTGGGAGGGGTGGGGGTTGGGGCTTCAACAAATGAATTTTGAGGAGAGACACATGCATTCATAATACCCCCAGACAGCACTGCCGATCCTGGTGGGTCCCATGTCACAGAGGAGATGCAGAAGTGTCTTGAAAGAGGCTCCCAGTGCAGGCTGCGTCTAGGGCAGTCCAAGCTCTGAGGACACAGCCTCACCTCTTCTGGCCCTTTGTGAGTGCTAGCCTCTTACCTGCCACCGTGCATGGACTTTATGGGAGGCCTTCTCACAGGCCTTGAGGCTGGAGGGCCAGGGACTGCCTTTTGACCTCTGGCCTGAGCTTAACCCAGCCAGAGCCTGCATGGATAGGCAGCACCAAGAGGGCAGGTGCTTGTCACCCAGCTCTGGCCTCCAAAGTAAACATTAAGGCTCGATTCCTGCTTTCCATGGCTTTGGGGAGCAAAATAAACCCTGACAGGAATGTTCCCTACTGCAAACTGAGGGAATCGGTCCCCACCCAAGCCCCTGCCAGTTACCTCCAATGTCCTGCTGCCCACCTGGCAGTGTTTCCTAATAGCCTCCTTCTGAGCTGATGAAACCTGCAAAGTGTCACTGCAAATCTTGCCAAGGCCGGAGGGTTTCAAGAAGTTGGTGGAAGTGACAACAGAGAACTGCCAAGTAGGCTCTGTGAACTCTTACCCTCACTAAGCCCCTTTGAGGGGGACACTGGGAAGCTGGCTTGGTGAGGGCAGTGACTTTCTGATTTGGGGCCACCCCATAAAGCGGTGGGAGACCAGGATGCATGTGGCCCCTAGAGTTGCTAGTGGCAGTTTTAATTCAGATCCTGGGGCAGCAAACTTGAACCCAGGTCCAACCCCTCCCCTCCCAACTGTGCAGGATATTCCCCCGGAGTTGTCTTGAGGTCAGAGTCCTGCCTCCCATGCTGGTGGACTCTCGTGGCCCCAGCCCCAGCACTGTACTTTGTGCTGAGTGTCTGGCCAGTACCAAATCAAACCAGTGGAGTTGAATGCCGGGTGGTACATGAGGGATCAGTGTCCCTCGCTGCTCCCAGGCAAAGCCAGACCCCTGTACCTCGCACCCTCTGAGTGGTGTTTGCCAGTCAGTGTTCCCAGGGACACCCTGCATTCTTGGGAATAAACAGCATTCTCAGCCCCATTTCCTAATAAAATGAGCGCCCACATGGGAACTGGGCACATGTGGCAAAAACACCTGCCCTCGAGTAACACGTTTCTTCTTCCTTCTTTCCTTCCTTCTTCAGTTTTGTACCCGAACCTGGCAGAATTGGAAAATTATATGGGTCTTTCCCTTTCCAGCCAAGAAGTCCAGCAGAGCCTGCTCCAGCTTCCGGAGGGTGACAGTGTAAGTATCTGTCTCCTGCCTGCCGTGGGTGCAGAATGTCCCAACCATCCCTTCTCCTGGGTTGGGCCATTTCAAGGCTTCCTCTCTCAGTATTTGACTCCCCTTTCCCCAGCATTCTTGTGGTTGTTTCTCGAAGGTACTTTTCATCTTGATCCTTCGTGAAAAGCACTGTTGGAGTTTCATGGCTTCACATCTTCCCGCAGGCCTTGGGGCTGGAGATCCAGGGCCTGCCTTTTGACCTCTGGCCTGAGCTTAACCCAGCCAGAGCCTGTATGGGTAGGTAGTGCCAAGAGGACAGGTTCTTGTCACTCAGATCTGGCCCCTAAAGTAAACAATGAAGCGCTATTCCTGCTTTCCATGGCTTTGGGGAGCAAAAGAAACCCTGACGGGAATGTCCCGACTGCAAATGCTGATGGAATCAGTCCCCACCCAAGCCCCTGCCAGTTAGCTCCAGCGTCCTGCCACCCACCTGTCAACCACCTTCTGAGCTGATGAAACCTGCAGATTGTCACTGTAAATCTTGCCAAGGCCAGAGGGTTTCATGAAGATGGCAGAAGTGACAATGGAGAAGTGTCACAGCCACATGCAGAGCAACGACCAAATGAGGATCTGACTCGAGAAAATCAAAGTTGGAACAAAGAATGGCTAAAATCAAAGCCGTGTGGCACCCTGAGAACAACTAGTAGTGCCCTGGGGTGTCTCTCCACAATGACTCCCTTGAGGATCCCACTGTGAAGCACACAAAGCATAGAAGGTCCTGCTGCATGTTCTCGATTTTAGCCATTCTTTGCTCCAACAATTAGGATGTAAATGCATTTTATTTCCTAATTTTAAGAATGGTTGTGTCCTAATTATCAGGAAACTGCCAAGCTGTTTTCTAGAGCGGCTGCGCCATTTTACCTTCCTGTGAACAATGCTCGAGTGCTCCAGTCTCTTCCCATCCACATCAGCATTTGGTGTTATCACTATTTTTAATTCTAGCCATTATGGTAGCTGGGTAGTGATGGATCGTTGTGGTCTTAATGTGCATTTCCCTCGTGGCTGGTGATGTTGAACATCTTTTCATGTGTTTGCTTACCATCTGTATATACTTTTTGGTAAAATGTTTTTTGCATATTGTTACCCTTTTTTTTTTGAATTGGAGTCTCACTCTGTCACCCAGACTGGAGTGCCGTGGCCGCTCCCGGCCACCCCAGCC